TTTTTTCAAAAATTTTCCGCTACATTTTTCGTGGGGATAACTTGGATAGAAAATTTCATAAGAAATCTGTGAAAAAAATCGTGAGAAAGATAGCATGTGGTTTGAACTATTTTCGCAGGTTTTTCCTAAACTTTCTGCCGAATAATAAGCCTGCCAAAGAGGAAGAAAGAACGAGCCAAACAATATAAAAGGAGGAATGACATCAAAGATCAAATGATTGAATTAAATTTAATTGAGGGCTTAAAAATTTTAAATATATAAAATAAGGACCAAAGATCTTTTGGTAAATTACTCTAAAATTTCCTACTCCCATTCCATGATTTGCAACCATTAAAACAAGAATTTATAAGTGTTATTTGTAAATTTGTAAAGAAAAAACTTGTCAAACATATCACTACTTCAAGTGATTTTTTACTTTCATACTCTTATTTGCAACTCTAAAAATATAAATGTACGAATAAAATTTGTTGATTTGTTAAGGAAAATGATTTTTATGTAATAATATATTTTACTTGCAAATTCTTGTTTTCGAGGATGTAAATCATAAAATGTGGGTAATAAACTTTTAGACCAATATATTCAAGGACGTTTAATCCTTCTTTTGAATTTCTAAATTTTTTATTATTTAATTTTAATTTAATCTTTTAGTGCTTTCATATCATTTCTTTGTAATATTTGTAGGTTGTTACGAGGGATATTGTATTTGTAGGGGGGACAAGAATATCACTGTTTGAATTTTTTAAATGTTACTCTTGGCCATTCAAGTAGTAAATACAAGGAATTTTATTTTATCAAATATAGGGAAAATATTTATTATTCTCTTCTCATGGATTGGTTTTGAGATAACTTTAAAATTTGAAAAACAATATATCATAGTCATAATATGAACGAATTTGATTAAGAGAGAGAAAAAGGAGGCAAGTGTTCATAATTTGATAATTAGGTCATTATGATGACCCCAATACCAATATTACAATTTTTTAAAAACATCAAGGGATCGAGTTTCGTTAGACACACACACACTATAATTACAGTCTTGGTCGTTATTTTAAATTATATATTCCAATTTCACCTAAAAAAAATTATATATTCCAAGAGGCCGGTTTGCTGATTCAACGATGATAAGCCATTGAACGGAGGAATATTAAATTTACATTTTGATCCTTGTTTAAGTAAACAATATATATATCACATGTGTGTGTCTCGCTTTTATATATATATATATATATATATAAACAAACAGTCAAGGATAATTTTTTTTTAAAAAAAGTAGCACAATATACTACTTTGGTCTATTTATAGTGGCAGAGTGAGTATTATTTGATGTGGTCCTATTTACAAAAAACTTCAATGATTATTGTATTCATCTTTTATCTTTACCATTTTATTGCTATTAAATGTTGGGAATATTATTAAGAGTATTTTATATTTAAAGAATGTATGTTTGATAGAATAAAGTTGGAAACTTATTGAATTTTTAGACAAAGTTAATAAAATTTAAATTTTTCTTTCATTTTAGTGAAAATATTGAAAATGGCTTATAAATAACATCAGTATACTTCTTTTGGCCCCTATTATAGGGAACCTTCCAGGAGCATTTTGTAGTCACTAATATAAGGCACACTATGTGGTATTAATTACATTTTTCTAGTATTATTCTTATTTAAACTTATTAGCTATAAGCGAGTAGAATGTAATAAAAATTTGAAAGTTTTTCATTTAAATAAGGGTAAAATTGAAAGCTTATTTTATTTTCAAACAAAGTTAACAACTTAACTACCTCTCATTAGTTCTAATGACATAATTGAAGGTTCTTTATAATAGGGACTAGATGAAGTATTGTTTAAGCTGACAAAGTTTGATTTAGTTCATATGAATACAACTCACACCTAATAAAAGGCATGGATTTGAATCATGCTGTCCACTTGAATATCTTGTTATGGATAATTTTTAGTTATATACTTCGGAACTTCTCTTACAGTATATCTTTTGTGAGCCTCAAGGCCTAGCTAATTCACTTGAGTCCCGTTTGATTATCTCAATTCCATATCTGTCCAGAACCTATTCCTATGACAGCTCTCACACATGACTCCCAATTATTATAGGTAATTAAAAAGTGGTATCAGATCTATGTTTGATTAACATCAATTAATTTATGGGTTTAATTTGTTTTAGGTATCAATCCAGATGGAACTACTCCACATGGTGCAGATCATCATCTTCTTCATGAGGTTCGTCTGTGTGTCAAAGATGATGGGGTTACACTCTTTGATTGCAACGCTGCTTCCATTTTTTCTGCTCCTTAACCTTGACGACGTTTTCTCACACTTTCCATCACGCATCGCGTAAGTTCATATCTTTTCTTTCTCTCTGTTTACTGTCCTTTCTTTTATTCAGTGTTCTAATTCTCTCATTCTTATATATGACAAGTTTATTTATGAAAATAGACAGATGGATCTGGCTAGTTGGTCAATTTTTCAGCAAATATATATAGATATATATATATATATATAATGTGCACTTTAACTATATTTCTCTAACATTAGGTAATACCACAACAAATGAGTCTCACAGTATTTTTATTATTATTATTTTGGTACAGGGAGGATGTTGCAAGGGCTCTTTTTTCCACCTGGTTGTGTTAATATTGATGTATCACGTTCAAGTCTCTGTAGTGTTTGATTCGTGTAATAAAATATCTCTTTGGTATCTGTTTCACGAAATAAGAAAATAATTCCAATCAAATCAAATGTGATACTTTTGCTTCTATAAATAAATTTCTAAATCATAAGTGATTTGAAATGTTTTTTGTATATCTTTGTTATGATGGAATTCAACAAGGATAGCAAAGGGTTATTCGATAAAATAATAACAGAAATAAAGAAAGGAAACAAAAGAAACACGACGCATTGTATATTTAACTAATTTCCTATATATGAAGACGTTATAACAAGCGGCTCTATTGGAATAAATATAATAATTTATGTAAAGGTCACGGCCTGAACAAATCAATTATGTTTGCGGGTGTGTAAAATTTATAGTAGTTGCAATATTTAGTAATGATAAATACTACTTCCTCCTATCCTTAGTATAATACACCTTCAACTATCTTATCAAAAGACAACTAATTAAGTTATCAACTTTGTTTGAAGATATAATAAACTTCTAATTTTACTCTTGTCTAAATGAAAAGTTTTAAAATTTGCATTACATTTCTCAATTTTAGTTAATGAGTTTCAATACAGGTAATATTAAAAAAACATAATGAATACCCTATAGTGTGCCTAATGTTAAGGACAAAAATTTTCTTTAGAAGGTCTCCTAATAATAGGGATCGGAGGGATTACATCTCTATGTGAGTAGCAATGGGGTTATGTATTCGATTGTGTTCCTGTTTTTAGATTTCTTTTTTGGACTTAATTTCTTTTGACTGCAATTTATCTAAACTATGCTTCCATTACAAGTTTAAATTGTTCAGGTCAAATTTTAACCATACAGGTTAATTTGTACTTTTAAAAGCTATCAAATCTAAATAATCAAATTCGATTTGGCAGTTCAAGCCGCCTCCTGCCTCCCCTAAACCTTGACCTTGTTTTCACGTCCATCACTCATCATGGTGTGAATTAATTTTCAATGTTCCCCAATTATCGCATTTTTTCTATTAGGTGAGGAGAATTTGAATTTTATTTTTATTTTAAGTTTCAATTCACTTGCTATCTCTTGACTTTCATAAAGATAAGTTTATTAATAGTCTGAGACCATGAGTTCTTTTTTGGCTCTGGAGTAATTTGCAGAAAATATTCATTTCAATTACATTCTTAATTTTTGGCTCTGGATTAATTTGCATGGCCTTACATTATATTACTAAATTTTTTATTTGTACAATATTAATGAAAAGTAATTAAAAGAAGAGTACTAATTTTGTAGTCCAAAGCGAATGAGTTATACCCTTAAAAAGCAACAAACAAAAAAACCAGATTGACACTTGTTTCTTAATGTTGATACATGTGCCATCTTATTCATGTCGTAAGTGTTTGATTACTGCAATAAAGTACCTACTAATAAAAGTATCTATGTTCGATAGCCAATGTCTTCATCACATGATTTTCCTCGCATGACATCAATTTGGAATAGAATCTTTATAAGGATGACTAAATCAATTGCAAAGTTAATAGTAAAGTAAAATAGATGATTTTTCTTTTCAGTTTTGCTAAAATTATACAGAAAAAATAACAAGTTGATCTATTGGCATAAACATACAATTAATAAACAAATCAATTATGTTTATGCGTGTGTAAAATTTATAGTAGCTGCGATATTTAGTAACGCATGAGAAATAGTACTCCTTTCAATCCCTACTATAAGATATATACCTTCAACTACCTCACAGGAACAAAAGAAATGAAGTTAAATTATTAACATTATTTAAAAATAGAAAAACTTTCAATTTTGTTCCTATTTAAATGAAAATTTTTCAAATTTGCATTACATTTCTTTCTCAAAGTTAATGATTTCAAATAGGGATATTATTGGTGAAAATATAATAAATACCCCATGGTGCCTTATATTTAAGGACCAAAAAATGCTTCTAAAAGGTGTCACGTAATAGGGATCAGGGGAAGTACATCAATGTAAGAAGCGATGGGGTTATGTATTTAATTGTGTTCCTGTTTTTAGATTTTTTTTTGGATTAATTATACTAAACACCTTTTTGGAGACTTGAGAGAGAGCAGCACTTGTTGGTACTTTAGTATTATTGACTAGCATAATTTATCAATAAGAGGAAATTACATATATTGGGGCTGGGGTTAAATGATTGAGCATTCTTAAAATAAAAGGGGATAAATAATCTTAGGCCTAATTACCTTAAAAAAAATTCTAAATCAATTTTTGCTTTTCTGAGTTTTTATATTCTCTCACACATTTAATTTATATTTTAAGCACAATAATCATGTTCACACTTTTCATATATATATATATATATATATACAGCAGCTGGACACACAGTAACGGCTTCGTATTATTGCATTCATATTTAAAATAAAGTACAATGTATAAAAACCATACCACACGTACGACTGCAATCCAACAAGGTAACATAATATTTAATCACAAACAAACCCACGACCTAAGGGTCGCTACTTATTCTCTTTGGCCATTACATAATCATTAAACCACACAACAATCGACAAGGTAACAAAACGACTTCATGAAATAACACCATCACACTATTGAAGCCTTCACGAAATTACAGAACGACTTTAATGATTGACTCCCATATGAATATCACCACTTTAATGCCATATATAGCGACTTCACTTATTTATTAGTGCGTATATTCGCCAGACGTTCGCTCTTCTCTTTCACAAGTATCTCAGCCATCCTGCATTGACAATAAAACAAAATTAAAGGGACTCAATAGCCAGACATTAAGAACTATGTGTGTGTGTGTGTGTGTGTGTATCTTGAATATGCCAAAGTAAGATTCTTATTTGATCTAGGGTTTTAAGTTGTGCATGTAAACTCAGAAGAAATAAGCTATTTGTTAGGATTTGCAAATATATATATATATATATATATATTTACTTCTTAATGGCCACTGCATTTGTTGGACCACCGGGTACAGGTTCAAGCTTGAAGGTGTCCAAGTTCATCCTCGTCTCGGGTTGGCTTAGCAACTGATCTGCTAACGTTTCAAGATTCTTCAAGTTCTCCTCAGTGGCGCAATCCAAATCAGCCATAGTTTCACTTAATACATCTGTCTGCAGAATATGAATGAAAGAAATGGCTTATTTTGTGAACGATAATTAAAATGTAGAGAACATAACAAGAAATAGGTTTAAACTTATGAGTCATTCTTCTTCAGGAAGGGCCAATCCCATTGTGAGATTTAAATGTGAACACAATAACAGGCTTTCAGATTCCAGGGAAAAATCTAACTCTAATACCAACTAACATCACATCTTAATTCAAAAACTCAAAGTTCAAGTTTATGAGTGATTCTTCATTATTATATACTCTCTTTGTTCCAAATTGTAAAACACTTCCTGGGGGAGATTTAGTGTTTCAAAATATCAGACGCTTTGGTAAAGATAAGATTTCATTGATTATGCTTTTTCAATATTACCCTTTTCATATATTCTATCTCCTTAATATTCTATCGCAAATAGAGCATCTAATAATGTCTGATAATTTGGGACAAAGAGAGTATTATAAATTAATTCCAACTTTCTTTGATAAGAGACTTCCCCCATTGACTCAAGTCCACTCACACTTGTAGCTAACAATAACACACACATACACACAGAGCCATGTGTTGGAAGTGTGGATGATAAAATATGAGATGAAGGGTACCTGAATTCGAAGGTAGTTGCTCTCAGCTCCAAGGGCGCGGAAAACAGATGCAAGATGATAATCAACAAGGTCTTGACTTCCATCAAGAGCAAATTCAATACTTGGTTTAGCCCATTTCAAAATACCCCATTTCTTTGCATCTTCGGCATTGTAAACATTAGGTTTCATGAATCCAGTTCCAAAAGACACCAACACAATTCTCTTATAATCATTTGGTTCAAAGCCCGAGAATTCTGGATTTTTCTTTGTTATTTGTTGTGTCACCTCACTGATAGCAATTAATGCCTGCAATGTTTTCAAGTTCATTCAAATTTAATAAATCATAAATGTCATAGTTTTTTTTTTTTAAAAGCACACACACACACACACGAAAGTGCTTAATTAGCTTACAGGATTGTTGGCTATGATACCACCATCAATCAAATTCAATTCTGTTTCACCATTTTTGAAAGGATAAGGTGGTAGATAGGTTGGCGCAGCTGAAGTTCCAATGCAAATATCTGACAACAAGGCGTCTAAGCCAGCAGGGACGTTGGACTCTGTGTTTAGCTGCATCATGCATGTATCCATATCCTTGTCAACTTTTGATGATCATTAACTAAAGCAAATTGTTGCAACCCTTTAAATCTATTTGGTAATTTAGATGGTTTCAATTTACAGTTTCCAATAATAATTTTTTGCAAGAAAATAGGGTAAGAGAGCAAATTGACCCTGAAATTATAGGCCTAGGAATGTATAGAATCTTAAATTCATATTTAGTGCAATGTTTTCATTCAACTTTCAAACATAATTCAATTTGGCCCGTATTATTAATAAAAGATAACTTTAATTATTAGTTGACCTTAAAAATTATAAAAAATGACTAAAAAAAATCATAAAGGACCCAAAAATTAAAGAAGGACCAAGAAAATTTATTGGTCCTTTTTTGTAATTTTTATATCCTTTCTGTCATTTTATGGTCAACTAAAGCTGAAAGTTAATTTCTATTAACAATGGAGGCCAGATTACACCTCTTTTAAAAGTTGAAAGGAAATATTACACAAAAAATAAATTTAGGATCATAATGCTCCTAAACCTACAATTTAGGGGCTAATTTTCTTTTTTATCCTAGAAAATATATTCATCCAAAAAATTGTCTTTATTTCAATAAACTATAAGCAGCTGTTGGAACCCTAAACTATACGATCCATCCTCTCAACATTTCAAGACAATGCAATATTATTCCTCTTGCTAAGAATAAACAGAGGGAATATCGATACTTAAGAATGGATTATGGTGGAGAATGGGTATAAATTTTATATATACCTTCAAGCTTGAGAAAATAGTGGGTCGGACTTGTTTCATATCGAACGTTGGGATTACAATCTTAGTCAACGTGTCATGCAGCCTTTTTCCATCCAGATGGTACTGTATAGCACTATGCAAATACTCTCCATTGTACTTGGGCTTGTAGAGATAGTTCCAGATAGATTTGAACCAACTTGAGTAAAACAATATTGAAGAGGAGTATGTGAGTATCATATAAAAGATTCAAAATTGAACAATAAAAACAGTACTTGGGTTTCTCATCACCGAATTACTTTCAAGGATAATTAGTTATACAAATTTGAAATTTACGTACTTCTTCGGGGGGAAAATTTGTGGGGATTCCTTTCTATAGAAATCTTTGATTTGTGGAGCGGAAAATAATGGACGATGGTTCCCATCTGGGGCTGTAAGCATTGCAGTGATGATTCCACCTGTGCTGGTTCCCGCAATTATGTCCAAATAGTCTGCGATCCTCGCATTCTTATCTCCAGAAACATTCTGAATAAAATAAAAAGTGGAGATCATGACATCTCAACTCAACTTAAAGTTCAAGTTTATGAATCATTTTACTTTATTATATATTAATTAATTTGAAAAGAGAAATAACTACCAAGGTATGAAAACATATCAGTTATTAAACTAGTTAAAGCATTGGTTTAAAAAGTAAATGGTTAAAACTGTAGTTAAACTATGATCAAACTGGTCAAGACACTAGTTGACCGGTTCAATTGGAAGAGTTGAACCAAATTTATATACTATGATAACAACAATATACGTACTTGCAACTCTTGCTCTAGTTTCATAAGTAGGATAGCAGGTATGATCCCTCTAACCCCACCTCCGTCAATACTGAGAATAGTGACAACGTTCCCAGCTGATGGAGGTGGCAGCTTTGCTATTGCCTCCATTACTTGACGAGCAATGAAGATCTCAGACAAATGATCAGAGATAGAGAGAGAGAGAGAGAGAGAGAGAGAGAGAGAGAGAGAGAGAGAGAGAGAGAGAGAGTTAGGGATTGCTTGTGTGCTCTTCGTTCGTTGGTGTGAATGGTATTTATAGACCCCATACCGGGCACAAAAAAATTTATATTACTTTCCTTTTGAAAAAAATATATTATGTTTTCTAAGAAAAATAACCAATATTTTACAAAAACATTTTTTTTATTTGTGCCCCTCGATAGATTATGCAGAGCTTAAGAGATGAGCCGAAGTGATTATGACTCATAGATATAGACAAATCCACCTGTTCCCACGCTTGTGAATAATTTGACTTCTTTGATTTGCATCTTAAGAAATACTCCAATCTCCATTTTCAAATGTAAGTAAATTTCAACTAGCTTATATAGCTTAAGAAAGTTGATTAAGCATAATAATTATATTTAAAAAATCAGATTAAAATATCCTTATAATTCATGTTTTTCTCTAATTTAATGATACAATCCATTTATGATGGGAAATTTGAAAAATATATAATAAATGCTTCTTAAATTGTGTTGTTTTGTTTATGAAATAAGGGATAATAAAACTTTTAGTCCCTCAAGTTTGTATTTGTTATTGATTTGGTCCATTGAGTTTGTTTCAATTATTAATTTGTTCGTTAATATTTAAATACAATAACACTATTAAAATTTGTTAACATAGACAATGGAATTTTTTTTTTTTTGCCCAATTAGACAATAGAATATTGATGGTAGCTATGTAAAGTAATAAAAGGAGAGTATAATTATTTATGTATGGGAAACAAAACAGGCTCAAAAACTCTAAAAAAACAAAATAACAAAATGCATGTAAGGAACTATGTTAATAAAAATTAAATTGATTTAAGAGTTAATTTGTTCTTATTTAGCTACATATACGTGCCAAATCATCATTATACTTTATATATTAGAATGGAAATAAAAAGTAAAATATAAAGTCAAGTTTAGCAAACTTTTAGGCTTCTTATTGTATGCAGATTCCATTATGCGTACATAGGTTAATCCCTCAAAACATGATGAATCAATATTAGAATTTCTGTTGAGAGAGATGTTACACAATTAAACATTTTAAGTGTGAGGGATAATTTAGTCTTTTCATGTCAAATTAGTCCAATCATTTTTTTCTCATTATATCAAACATCACTTGGTGATATATTTTTGGATAAAAGTGCAAATTTAACTACAAATTATTTTTTAAGAATAACTAAATAGCTCATACCATAAATTGATGTGAAATAAATCCTAATCTAATAAAAATATAGCAATGGGTGCCTACTATTAATTTGAATAAATGGACATTTGTTTGTTCAATTGTTTGACTTTAAAAATTATCAAGCCACATGTCATCTCTTCATTTGATCCCCTCATTTGTGACTCTCTCTCTGTCCCCACCTTTTCTTCAGGGTAGACCTTGCAATAGTAGCAACCTATGGCATCCAAAGTCATTTTCCAGCGAATCTGATAGCAGCAAACTCAATAGCCATAGCCTCCAACTCGGCAATCACAAATGTTTTCAATAGCATTTTTCCGGCAACTTGACAATGTAGGCCTCCCAACGTTGATGCTGCAACATTCTTCGGCAACATGACAATGGCGCAACGACAAATGCCAAACTTCCGACAACCAGTAGCTCTGCCATAACACGCTCGACCCAATCAACAGTACCGACCTTAAGAATTATATAAAGTTAGTGGACAGAATCCGCTATGAACACTGTCATCTAGTCCTTTAATCTTACCGATAGGGTTGCCGTCGAGCACGAAAATGGAACCATGAGAGGCATCAACATGGTCGTTGAGGATTGTAAGGACTTGTTGCAATTTGCTATTGTGAAACTGCAAGCAATGGGCCTAGAGAAGAAGAAGGATGGTGAGGAGAAAGAGTGAGAGAGTGAAACAAAAGCCAAAGGGTCAAAGACAGAGGGTCAGGGAGGGAGGGAGAAGATAAATGGGCCCCACAATGCAAAATAAACGGACCTTAGTTGAAAATAAACAGGAGGCGCGGGAGCTTCATTTTCAATAGTTTAAAATTTATTTCGTAACATCTCATAAGATAGATTATTCAATAATTCTCGAAAAATATTTTACAGTTAAATTTGTACATTTACGCTATATTTTTTAGTCCTAGAAATACTAAATATCTTTTTATATCCAGCACCATCTATTCCCTTCTCAATCCTTATCTCGGTTTTATGTATACATAAAAAATAAAAACCCACCCTCTAAACTATACAGGTGTTAGACTGTAGACCAGTAAACAATTCCTTCCATCTATTCTATGTTGTCAGTTGTAAACAAGCTATGGTGGTGTTTAAGTAATAAAAAATTATTTATATAGAGAACACATTGATCGTTTTTTTCTTAGAAATTAATTACTATCATGATCTTAATTGTTGTATTATACATTGGGAATACATGATATATCATTTGTTGTTTCTATCAGAAAGATCTTATCGTTCGTTCATTTGAAAGTTATAGGGAAAATTAAATGACTTTGCATATATATATATATATATATATGTATATGTTTTGAAATTCAAAGAAAAATTATTGGAATGAATTTTTTTGAACATCTGCTATTAAAATGAATATAAAACCTAGCATTAATAAAAATTGTATAATTTATAAATTATGGCACACTAAACCTCCATGATAATTTTGTCTAAGGTCTCCAAACTTGTTCACACGGCTATGAACAGGGCTCCTATAAAAAAGAGCAGTGGGATTGTAGATTAGTTTGGAATTCATGAACAGGGCTCCTTGATATTTTCTAAGCATAGGCAATATTATTATTCACAAGTTGATATTAAGATGATAATAAGTCTGTTCAAAGTTGGCCGGCCTAAATTAAATTAATTTTTTATGTTCAATCACTAACATGGATTTATATATATGGTTTTCAGTTACCACGAAACCTGACATTATTTTCACATGGATTTATATATAGTCTTGATTTTGACTTAGAAGAATCAACATTTGAACCAGTGCAACGAGGCAAAGGCGCTCAAGTCATATGGTGTTGATAAAGACATTTAAGAACAATTATATTTTTCTAAGACAAATTTAGTTGTTGTAATAAACATTCATTATTTGAAAATTTAGTTTTTTAGAAATTGTTTCACGTGGGAAGGAGAAGGAACAAGATTTCGCTGCCCTTCTTTCTGAGAGACTATCAAATACGCTTGATTGATAGTTAGCAGTGGGTTCATGAGTAGGATTTGGATTCGAACTTGTTGATAAGAGGGATAAGTCCCTTTAGAAATTGAAAGAGTTTCTGTTGTTATATATCTCTTAGTATATATCGCTTGAGCAACTAGTAGGTGGATAAATGACCAATCCAACTGTCCTATTGCATGTTTAACTTGAGGATGAGTCTAAGTCTAAGTTTGAAGATGTGTTAATCTCTATAATTTCATATCATTTACAATGTGCACATTTTCCTTAGATTTTATCATATTTTGAATACTCAATTGAGGGAAATGTGCACATTGTTTGGAAATTCACACAACGGCATTAATTTGGTATTTTCTAGCTAATTTATGACTATCTTGGTTAAAGGATGTGTTGGAGGCCATTCTGGTCATTATGCGAAGTTTTTGGAGGGCTATAAGATCGAGGAATCTGATGCAAAGAAGAACAGTCAAGCCAAATAAGGGAAGGGTACTTAACAGAGCAAAGTAACAACCAAAGTCACGACTTTATTAGCGACTTTCACCTCTAACATTACAGCAAAACGATGCATTTATTGAAAATGATGCATTTTATTTGGTTGATTTAAGTTAGAGTTTTTGAGCATATAAGAGCTATTTTCAACCATGGCCAAAATTATATGCTTCTTGGGAGTATTTGGGAGCTTTGAGTGTGTTAGAGCTTGAATTTTGATGAAGATTGAACTAGGGTTTAAAAATGGGAAGAGATTTTAGCTTCAAATCTTGATTTAATGTTTTGTTCTATTACATTTGTATTTCTTATGGGTTTCTAAACATTTGTTGATAAACTTTTGATTCTAGTATTAATTTGAAACTTTGCTATGGATTAATACTAATTTTCTTCTTTCTCTTTTTATTAATGATAATTAAGTGTCTATTTTACTCTTCTCTTAATGATTTTAAGTCATTGGCCACCATTTAGATGTTTTGATTCATTTAAGTGATACTTAAGAAGACTAGCTTGAGTGTAGAACTTAGGACAAAATAGTGCAAGAACTTAAAATTTACATGATCAACGGATGGCTTTATTGGTAAGTTAGACATATGTTTGTTAGTTTTGCATAGCCACATTAGTGAGGGTTGGAGCTTAAAATTGGGTTTTATTAATTGTAACAAGAGATTGAGTAATTAATTAAATTAAATACTTCTTCATGCCTTGAAAGATCTTCTTCAAGTATTTTTAGAACCCTAATTTTGCATTTATTTTCATTAAAAAAATCTATGAGAAGAGCTAATTTCATTAAGAAATGTAAGGAGAATAAACAATCATAGGTCCCAACTCAATCTTAAAGTCTAAAAATAATTTGTTTTTCTTTATTTTCTAGTTTTAATATAGCTTGCAATATCAACTTTATCCAACTAATTGTGTTTTGCTCAACTTAATTGAATTTATGAAATATTCTACTTGATCATATTTTTAATAGGGAAAATATAACTTTTGGTCCCTATACCTTTAATGTGTTTTGGTATTAATTTGTTTCCTATACTTTTTATTTTGTTGTTTCAAATCCCTTAAGTTTCATTTGTCTGCAATGTTAGTCCTTATATTTTTAAATAGTGACTAACATGTGCATAAACTCTTTTACTTCCTGTACTGACTTGTTAAAATAATCATGAGTTGTATAAAAAATGAGTTTTAAAAAAGGAAGACATTAAATCAGAATCCTTAAACTTACAATGGATTAAGCTTCAAAAAGAAGAAAACACAGCTAGGGCAGACCCAAAAAACAAAAGTTTAATGGCCAGTTGCTTATATAATGTCCAACTCATAATTTTATCAACTCACCAACAAAATTAAACATAG